GGCACTGAAGGCACTAACTCATCTATGCCAAGGAATTTAAAAATAACCACCTGGCCAACTGACTGGAAAAGATCCCTATCTGTGCCCATTCCAAAGAGAGGTAGCCCAATGAAATACAGAAATCATTGGAAAATATCACTGATTCCATATACAAGTAAAATCTTGCTAAAGATAATACAAAAGCAGCTGCAACCAAACATAGACAGAGGACTTTCAGACATTCAAGATAAATTCAGAAGAGGACATGGAACGAGGGATATCATGGCTGACTTCAGAGGGATCTTGGCTGAAAGCAGACAATACCAGAAAGATGTTTACCTGTGCAAAGGCTTTCGATGTGTGTGGATCATGACAAGCTATGGACAACATTGCAGAGAATGAGTATTCCAGAACACTTAATTGTACTCATGAGGAACCTGTGCATAGACTAAGAAGCAATTGTTAGAACAGAACAAGGGAACACAGAATGGTTTAAAACTAGAAAAGGTGTGCGCCAGGGTTGTATTCTTTCACCATACTTATTCAATCTGTATGCTGAATAAAGAATCCAAGAAGCTGGATTATACAAGGAAAAACATGGCATCAGGGTTGGAGGAAGATTTATTAACAACCTGCAATATGCAGATGATAAAGCCTTGCTTGCTGAAAATGAAGACAACTAAAAATACTTACTGATGAAGATCAATGACCACAGCCTTAGGAATGGGATGCATTTCAATGTGAAGAAAACAAAAATTCTTACCACTGGATCAATAAACAACCTCCATATAAATGGAGAAACGATTGACGTTGTCAAAGACTGTATTTTGCTTGTATCAACTGTCAACACTTATGGAAGCAGCAGTCAAGAAATCAAACAAAGTACTGCATTAGGCAAATCTGCTACATAAGACCTCTTCAAATTGTTGAAGAGCATAGATGTCAACTTGAGGATGAAAGTGTACCTGACCCAATCTATGGTATTTTCAATAACCTCATATGAATGTGAAAGTTGGACAGTGAATAAGGAAGACCGTAGAAGAATTGATGCATTTAAGTTATGGTGTTGAAGGAGAATATTAAAAGCACCATGGACTGCCAAAAGAACAAACCAATCTGTGATGCAAGAAGTACAGCCAGAATGCTCTTTGGAAGACAGGAAAGCCAGAATTTGCCTCTCATATTTTGGGACATACTTTCAGGATGGATCAGTCCCTGAAGAAGGATATCATGATAATCAGGGTCAGAGATAAAGAGGAAGACTCCCAATGAGATGGATTAGCACAGTGGTGGCAGCAATGGGCTCAGGCTTAGCAAGGATTGTGACACTGGTGTGGGAATGGGCAGTGTTTCGTTCTGTTGTGCA